ACAGAGAGAGATTCATTCCCAATCTGGAGAGTTGTTTCTCTGAGCCAATTAAGAGGGAGGATTGGGGGGCCGGCCCGGTGGTGTAGCGGTTAAGTTTGCACGCTCTGCTGCAGCAGCCCGCGGTTTGCAGGCCCGGATCCCGGATGCAAACTGACGCAGCACTTGTCAAGCCAGGCTGAGGCGGCGTCCCATATAAAGTAGAGGAAGATGGGCACAGATGTTAGCCCAAGGCCAATCTTCCTCAGCAAAAAGAGAAGGATTAGCAACCGATGTTAGCTCAGGGCTAATCTTCCTCACAAAAAAAAAAGAGGGAGGATTGGGAAGAGCCCCTGTAGTTCCTTGGAGCCCCATCATTGGGAATTAGGAGGACGTTGGAAAAGAGATTGTTACAAACTTAAGTATTAAGTACTTCAGGCGCCTTCAGCCTTCTAACCAGTGGTAATTCTGTTTAATTCTTTGAGGAGCCTTAACCAGGGTTTTAATATTCAATTTTTTAAGTCCTCATTCTTCTCATCTCAGAGAACATGCCCTTTCACCCTTTTGTGAGGGTCTCAGGGTCTGAGCACAGCTTGAGCCCAGGCATTAAAGTCAGTGCTCAGGTTGGTCAGCAAGAGATGGTGACTACCTGAGTAGCATGGCCCCAGGTCAACTAGACAGACAGAACTTTACACCCAGAAATTTTCCCTGCTGCCAGGACAAATTAGTTCTTTTCACAAGGGGACTCCTGAACACCAGTCTTCTGTAGGCCTGGAGTTTTACTATTAGAAATACAAGACTTGAAGAGTCCTCTTGTAAAAATAGAGTTATTGGCTAATAATGCAGCCAGGATTAGGGGAGCAGGAGAGATGGAACTGAACTGTGTGAAAGGAGATGAAAGGGGAATGGAAACCAAAGACAGACTCATTCTGCTTTACCATTTGTTCTATGAGCCTGGTCATCTGAAGCATGCCAGAGCTGGGTGTTTATGTGTTCCCTGCTTTGCCTCTTTCTCAGCAGGACATAGGAACCGCTGTGGGGGAAAAAATATTGAGCTGCATAGACCTAGAGGTTTATTTTTCAAAGGATGACCAAGAAATCCATTTTTCCACCAATCAGTAAACACAATGCAATTTCCCAAAGCTCAGTTTACAAAGAAGGAAATTTAATAAATAGCTCAAGATATTCCTGATTGAACCCATAGGTTCTGTGAGTAAACTCATGGAATTCTAAAGAGGTGGTTGCCTGGTAACCAATGTAAACAGCTTTGGAACCTAAGAAACTAAGGCAAGTTTAAAATGCAGAACCTTGCTTCCCGTTGAAGACAGTGTTGTGGGAGGCTATTTCGAAGGTAATTTCAAAACACTGCTGCTTTTCCAGTATCTGAAAGGAGCTTACTAGCATCAGCTGAATGATGAGAGGCAGCCTAAAGTAGTTGAAAATATTTGGGTTAGGTGTCCAAAGGGTTGATACTGCTTCAGGTACTAACCAGTATGATGATCTTAGTCATGTCTCTGGGCCTCAGTTTTGATATCTGTAAGATAAAAGAATTGGAACAGATCATCTTTATGGCAGTTTCCAGAGTAATCTCAGGAGACAGCAGTATATCAGTGTGAGTGCAAGGCAAAGAATGGGAATTAGAAAGTGGAGGGGGAAAAATGAAGGGAAGTTTCTGATGAGAAAGAGGCAGCAGAGAGAGGGGATTTGAATCAAGCCAGGTTAAGAGGCTATCTTCCCTGATCTCGCTCTCCCCACTAACCAAGTTTCCTTCATACATCCCACAGATACCTCTTGGGGCTGTGGTTTCTCTAAAGGTAATGTGTATAAAACCTCTGAGAGCTTGTTAAAATGCAGATTTGCAGCCTACTGAATCAATACTCTGGGGTGTGGGATACAAGAATCTATATTTTAACATACTCCTTAGGTGATCTTGATGCAGAAGGTCCTTTAACCATATCTAACAAACACCGTCCCAGAAGCTGACTGTCCCCTCTTGGGCCCTACGTCAGAACTTCTGAATCTGTGTGGGGAGGTGAGAGTGTATTACTTTTTAAAAGCTCTCAGAAGATACTGTGCTAAGGTTTATTGCTTTTTAGCCTTTCCTTTGTGGCAGTTTCTACTGCTTTAATAACAGAAGGAAAAAAGCAAGATATTACTCCTTTTAGCATGTATTATTCAGCCCACTTCAACTACTTCTGCAAAATAAAGGTACCAGACTAGGGAGTGAGGATAGGGGACTGGGAAGGTGATTAGAAGAGTGGAACTAAATTTGGAACCTCTGGGTTATCACCCATTTTGAGTCTGGATTCTTATATCAGGTTTTAACTGGAAGGATGTGGCCTACCCCTTCCAATCTCACTCTTGCCTATCTAGCCAGGTTCCCAGAAGTGCAGAGATCATGCCGGTGGTTGCTGCTAACCAGAAGGCAGGGCCTGGGCTGCAGTTATGCCAGGTCTGAATAACTGTAGGATGTAATTTATTCAATCTGTTATGCTATCAGTGCACAAAAGCACCTGAGACCCACCATTCTGCTTTTGGTTCTTAAGGGCTGTTTGTTGGGAGAGGACCCTGCCTCAATGCTGGTCCAGGTAACATTTAAGTTTGGATAACATGGAGGCTCCAAACTCCATTCGTAAGTCTTTTCTTCCTTCTCTATATACCTTCTCTTTTAATTGCCTAGGGTCCCAGTATTCCTCAACTGTTCCCTAAGTGCCCAGTGCATCTAACTGTGGGACCCTAGAGACTTGCCTTCTAAGGACAATAGTTGATGCTCTAAATCAGTAATAACAATTTCTCGCAGTAATGTAATACCTTGTAGCTTACAAAGAGTTTTCATACATGTTCCCTAATTTTGAGCTTCATATCAATACCAAATTAGAACAGGTATCAGACTCTATTTTCAGATTGGCAAACTGAGGCAAACCAGGGATATTAAATCATTTTCCCAAAGTAACATGGCTGGGAAGTGCAGAACCTGGCCTTACACTTGTCTTCTGACTCTAAGTCCATGCAGCACAAGCCTGTTTTGACCAAACCTTACAATATTTTGTCCTGTCCCCATTCCTTTTCAAAACATATCTATCATGTGTTTCCTTCCTTTTCAACAAGCCATCATATTAGATGATAATAACTATTCCTTGAGAATTTATAATAACTGATAATGATAATATGGTATTCTTTCTGGGATGTTGGAATTGTAACCAAAGATTCTGTATGTCACAGGCTATAAAGGGCATATATCTGGGGACACCCAAAATCATTCCACATATACCAGTAGTCATCATGGGGAGAAACAAGTCTTCATCCTGTTTTTCAAGTGTTTAGGATCAAAATGCCCTCTGCCTTAAGAACAAAATATTGCCACATGGATATGGTAAGAAAAAAATATTCTATTAGGCAATACACAAGGCAGGAGAACACAAACATAGTTTTCATCTAACAGTTCATTTTCAGCCAGTGAGAGTAGGCACTGTTCCAGGAAAAATATCACCTTGTGACCAGCCTCTGCCCTTGCCCTAATTTTTTTAGTCTAACTTTTTAAATAGTCAGTGACCTTGTGGCCATATTGACTTCACGGTTGTGAAGAGATGGAACAACGAAATTTAGTCTTCTGTGCACAAAGTCCTGGAGGGATATCATATTAATCATGTGTGACTTAATTTGAGTGAGCTTATCAGTTCTGGCCTAGTGATATCTAGATAAAAGCTGGCCCTTAACAAAAAGAAACACATCAAGAGGTCAGATTTAATACACGGAAGACAGTGGAATAAATCGAGCCCTACGGAGAGAAGGGACTGTGTTGGGTGTTATGAAGGAAAGAGAAATGAGTCACACCTGGACTAAGGGCAGGACAGGCAGGAGTTGGCACTAAGCACAAGAGGACACAGAATAATGGTCTCGCCTTCATGCTTGTGCACCTGGGAATGGCAAGGCCAACACAGTGAGTGGTAGGAGTGGGGCCTGAGCCAAGGCCAGAGCGGCACAGAGGCTAAGTGTGCCGGAGTTGGAATCTGGCAACTGGGTTTGAAGCCTGACTCCTCTACTTATGGCCTATCTGATCTGAAGAAATTTTTCTACTGCTCTGAGCCTCAGCTTCTTCCCTTAGGAAATAAAGACCATAATATCTTCCCTACGAACAGCCCTTGGCAAAGTAGTCCATAATTGTCATTTATCATTATTAGGCCAAGGAAGTGCTTCAGAAGGAAAATTTTTTAAAAAGCACTAAATCTAGGCATTTGTACTCTACAGTGTTGTCCATGCTGGCTAAAACCTGGAAACAGCTTGCCCAATAATTAAGGAAGAGCTAAGGTGCTTTACCTACTTGATAAAATATTCTGCAGCTGTTAAAACATTTTAACAATGAAGACTTACATAGCAATACAGAGAAATACTGGGTGATTCTTGAGAACGGCAGAGACAGGAGACATGGTCCTTGGGCAGTGCAGTTAAAGAACCAAATATTTAACAATGTGAGGTGTCACAGGATTAAAAGTTAAAATAACTGGTATGGACTAGGAGTGATTTATAAATTTGTGTATGACATGAAGGCCCAGACAGGTCAAGAAAGAGTTAGGGATCAGGCAGGAATTAAGCTGGGCCGAGAAGAATGGATACAATTTGCGTCAAGTATGGAAGAAAGGCTATTTCATGTAGAGGGCACAGAAGGAAGCTCCACTCTGTGGAAGGAGGAATACTCGGAGAAGAGCTAGGAGACTCGACAGGTTATATGTCAGGACAAGGTCATAACTAGGGTCACACTCATGCAGAACCCTGAATATTAGACTGAGTTGTCTGAACTTTATGCTATAAGCCTTTTGAACAGAGCGAAATCAACATTTGAGGAAAAACTAGAAGATGCGATACTGTTGAAAAGCAGTAATCCCTCATAAGGAGATGGGCTGAGCTTTCAGGACAAGTGTGAGAATTGGAAGCAAGGGTCTGATACAAAGAATATTTAGAATGTTGCACCATTTCTTTCTTTTATCCTTCCAATTCACATAGCTTCCCCCACCCCACCTTCTTCCACGTTCTTTTCTTTCTGGACTGCAATGGACTACCAATTTTTGCTTACCTACAGCTCTCACCAGTTCCTCCCATTCCCTTAACAGGTGTCTGGTCACGCCTCCAGACCCTGCCTCTGGACCAGGCAGTGTGGAAGGAAGCATTTGCTGGGAAACAATGACCAGGACCCAAAAGGGAAAGACCTTTATCTCGCACCGTTTCCATCAGTCACTTCCCCCACGGCTGGGATGGGGCATGATTTTCTCCTACTTAAAACCAAGAAACAAGGAGGAGTGTGCCTCCATCTCTGGTGTGCCTCCAGTCTTCCACTTCAGCCCTCAGCGCTGTGCACACCTCAAGAACCAATATTTGAAAGAGGCCGCTACAAACCTTACCTTCTCTCAGGAGGTGGTGTGGCAGCGAGGCCTGCCCAGCATTTCTTACAGCCAGTACAGCTTTGACCACCTCTACAACATACACAACATCCTCCAGCCTCCCCAGATCAGGAAGGCCCGACCTGACAAACCCATTGGCTTCAAGTTCTTAGATTCTTCAGGTCCCTCGGCAAGAGTCACCTCCCAAGCTATGAAGACAGAAATCTCTGCCAATCTTAAGAAGCTGAAGAAAGCAGAGCCGGTGAGTGCAGTCCCGGAAACATCTTGCCCTCTCATTCTTCATCCCTGCCAGGATCCAGACGTGCTAGGTCTGTCACTTTCTCCAGATGTGAACCTGGAGGAGAGGGAAGCCTGGCTTCTGCCGCCTGAGAAGGAGGCTAGAGCCTGGGAGGCCATCGTGCTGGAAAAACTGAACAAGCGCACTGCCCGATGGATCCAGAACAAGCGTCCTCTCAGGCCTGGGGTGTCCCCCAACAAGTGGCAGAGCTTCCTGCGCCAGCAACGTGACTGGAGTCACATCCGGGATGAGCTCACTTCCGCCAGCGACCTGCAGCTCTTGAAACAGCTGGAGGAGGAAGAGACAGCAGAATTTGAGAGTCGAAGTGTCATCCTGCCCACCCAGGAAGAAAAGAAGCCAGAGCGGCTGCTTCCTGTTTACTATAGGTAGACAGGCTGGGACCTCAGGCCTGCCTTTGGGAATCAAAGACTCCTGAGTGGGCGCTCACTCCTTATTTCAGAATGCACTTTCCCATCAACCTCTTGTGCTTTCCACCCTCAGTCTGCTCTCTAAGATCTCTATAAAGTAAGGTGTCTCAACCTCGGCACAACTGACATCCTGGGTTGGGTAATTCTTTGTTGTAGGGGGCTGCTGTGTGCATTGCAGGATGTTTAGCAGCATCCCACTGGATGCTAGTGCACTCTCCAGTTGTCACAACCAAAGATGTCTCCAGACATTGACACATGTCCCCTTGAGGGAAAAAATCACTCCCAGTTGAGAACCACTGCCTTTAAAGGGATTGGTTCTCAGCCTTTCCCAGCAGACTGAGCTATTCTGCTGATCCAGTTACTATCCAGGTGCTCCCAGAAATGTACCCATGGCCAGAGTAAGAAAGGCAGAGACCTCATGGCTCTGAGGTTTGGTCCTGCCTCACTTTAAATAAGGAGCCAGCATGTCACTGACTCAAAAACTGACTAGCAGCAGGACAGAGAACTAAACAACGTGAGAGAAGAGGATTACTGTGCATTTCTCAGATTGCTTCCTTCTCATTTATAGCTAGGGGGAACACTGGAGCTATTATAATATCCCTCATTCCCAAAAGTGAACTAAAAATAAGTGGAAATCCATTTATTCATTTATTGGACAAATATAAATTACATTCCCACTACTTTCCAGGTACTCTGTGAAGTGCTGGGAATACAACATAAATGAGACAGACATGGACCTCTCCTTTAAGGAGCTTACAGGGGATGTAAATAACCACACACAAAATAGATATAGTGAGGTAATGTAGGAGGCGGCTTCCCTTCCCCAAGTCTCTGCAACCTCTAAAGACACCAATGTTAAAAAAGGGTAACACTGGGAGCATGGCCACTCTATCCTGCCATCCAGTGACTGTGGAAGTGGCTCCACTAGTGGAGGGAAAAGGTGGCTGCAGACAGGCCCTTCTGGCAACTCCATATTCAACTGGCACATTGCGGGCAAGGCCAATAGTTAAACACAGGTGTTCTTTAGATGCTCGTGGGTGTATGAGCTGAGCTTAAAGAGGAAAGGAGTGAGCTATGGATCTGATGGAAAGGGGGAAGTCCATCTCCTACATTCCCCCCTTTTCTCCCTCTCTCACTCTTGCCAAGATTGCCCAATTACTTGCCACAAGTGCAGACAGCTGAAACCATGCCTGGCAATAATAAGACCGCTGAGGACATCAATGGAAAGAGGAGCATCTGCCAGCCCCAAAACCAGAGCTACTTCCGACAAGGGAATTTCCAAGCTGGAAAGTTTGCTTACTCCACAGACAACACCTTTGAACAAGAGATTTACTTTGGTAATAGAGCTGTGGTGGGGGCTGAGGTGGACATGGAGCAGGGAGTGGAAGGTAGCTGGGGGATGAAACATTTGTGGGTATGGATGAGAGGCCCTGGAAGACCCCGGTGTTCATGGTAACATCCCCTGGTTACCAGCACAGGAGTTGATTGTTTTTGTTTGGGTGGAGGGGGGACCGTTGGGCAGGTATCTGTTGGGGAGGAAACTGTTCTCTTTCTTCCCCCTTTCTCTATCCCTCTGTCTTACTAAGGAGGCAGTGGAGGGTGGGACTGTCAAGTAAGCAAGATTTAGCTTTGGGAACAATTTACCTCTTCTTTGTACACCCTTCTCCCTTTTCTCACTTTGAGATATTCCCCCATTGCATTGCTATGCTGGAAAAAAATCACAGGCTTTGGAGTCAGGCTGATCTGAGTTTAAATCCTGGTTTAACCCCTTCCTACTAACCTGCAGCAAATTATATAATCCCTCTGAGCGTTATGTACCTTATTTGTAAAACAATATTAACAAAAATGCACTTCAAGAGTAGACGACAAAGCATCTATAATTCTTCTTGCCCGATGCCCAATAAATGTCCTCTACCTTCCCCTTCCATTTTGCCATCCTTTAGATGCCTGGGCTTCCAGGATACACAATGTAGGTCTGCATGTTCCAAGTTATTTATTCTTCCCTACCCCCATCTTGTTCCTCAACTGCTGTCAACTGAAAATCTTCTTCAAGTGTTTCACGAAATTATTCAGACGAAGGAATTTATGACTGATAAGAGATGAATTAGGTACCCCTTCGTTAGTATCTAGCTTTTCATGGGGACAATGCCTAGAAGTTAGACAGGTTCTGCCTTGGCTTCCAGGCCTCAATGAGGCCACCAGCACATTATTTCCAAGTGACCTTCAAGGGATGCCCCCATAGCATGGTAGTTATGAATCCTAGGGGCTTAGAGTAGAGCAAAAGGTAATTGGGTCTGATCCTGGTGACTGAAAACCCAGGAAAAAAGGAAGGAGGGAGGTTCTAGGGACTCAATATTTCTTTATCTGTTCACAGATAAAATCCAGGTCATCTACCAGATTGGTGCAAAGAGAGACCAAATTTTCCTGGAAAACCTCAACCGGTACAACAAGCAGCTATCTAAGGTCTTCCCTGAAACCCCAGAAAGGTGGACTTCCCAGCCAGTTCCTGAAGCACGTAAGCAGGAAGCTGATAATGGGGGTCAAGATGGAAGTGTGGCTATTTCTTTAAGGCCCCTGTTTCATAGGCTGGGGTACCACCAGCATCTAGGGGAGTCCCTTCCTACCAACTAAAAATCATCTTATAAAATTATAAAATACTAACTATAACCAGGAAAAGCCTTTGTGGAGCATCCATTCAGTTGAAATCAGATAAAGCTTAGGTGTAACCAAGTGGTTTAGGACCAGTAATTACCAATAAGGCAGATCCCATCTTAATGCTTCCAGAGAAGTACATCAAACCCCTGATTCAACACTCTGTACATCATTTTTCATTCTGTAAGACAGATAAAGGAGATAATCAAGAAATGAGCTTATGAAACAAAAAGTGCCCATCTCTCCAAGAGACTATGTCTCCATTTCCCATGACTCTTTTCTTTGCCGTGTCATTATTCAGATGGGCCCCCTGGTATGCAGAAACATACCAGCAGCAGACCCATTCTTTTTCCTACCAGCCCCAAACCTCTGTCTCTAGTGCTGCCTGGCTAGGCAATAGCCACTAGAGTAGAGGAAGGCTAATGATGGCAGCTATGGGCAGCTTCCCCAAAACTCACACCGCCTCATTCTTTGTTGAGGACCACCTTTATAAAGCAGTGGAGAAAGCACTCCAGCAAAGCCTTGGGTTGGGTCTTGGCAAGTCACCTTCTGGGGCTTCCATTGCTTCATTAAAACTGAGACACTAATCATTCCTACAGCAAGGCACTTTGTAATACTTACTGATACAGGTGATTTTGTAAATATGTTTTATAAACCATTAAGTGCCGTACAAACTCAAGGCATTATTATTAGTTTACTATCTTCCCCACAAGGCAACTCAACTCTGCACGTCCTCTCCTCTGAGAATAGGCAAATCCAGAGAGACAGAATGTTGATCATTGGTTTCCGGGGGGAGAGAGGAATAGGTATGTGGTTTCTTTTGGAGGTGTTAAAAATATTCTAAAATTAGATAGTGGGGATAGTTGTACAATTCTGTGAATATACTAAAAACCAGTGAATTGTATATACTTTAAAAGGATGAATTTTATGGTATGTGATTTCTACCTCAATAAAGCTGTTATTTAAAAAAAAAAAAAATACTCTAAGGATCCTACTGCATCCCAGTGGTGCTGGATACCTGCCCTCTTTTTCTCCAGAACACAGAACATTTAATGAACTGATGCTAGAGGATTTTTCACAAATTTCTTTTTAAAATAATATTTGAAATTGATCTGAGGGAAGTAAAGTCAGAATAGTAATATATACGTATCTTCTTATAACCATTTTATTCATCCTCTCATCTCAGGAAATATTAGTTAGAAAGAACCTGGAAAAAATAGGAAAATTCCTGGGGTTAGATGTGGGTAGATTTTTTTTCCTCTCCATTTTGATTGAATTGAAAAACTTAGAGGATGATTTAAAATGACAAAAATTCTCAACATACAAAGTGTACTTATTACTAAATAGCCTTTAATTTCATGCTATAAAACTCGCTAGTGTGCCCAGAATATCATTACAGTTCCTATATACCAAGCACGGGTTTTATGGTACAAACCACAAAGGCACCATTTGTTTCTGCCAACAAAGTGTGCTGACCTTTTGTCCCACAGAAAATCAAAGGGCTGTTTCTTTGTGTGCTCCCTTTAGATGACTCTGGACGTGGAAGGTGGCTAGTGGATGTGTTTCTACCTCCCTAGAACTCCAAAGACTGGAAGTAAAATAAATGTTGGCAGTTGTACATGATTATTCCCAGAGGTTAAATATCAGATTCAAGACTTTCTCTCCACATCCATTTTAACACGCAGAGCAGGGGGATACGGGAAGAGGGGGGTTAGTTCAGCTACTTCTCACTTCCTTGGGAGGGATTTCAAGCAGGCTGAAAGGAGAGAGGTGAGGGAGTGTCACGCGGCAACGTGTCTGCTCACTGGGAGCTGACCTGTCTGGAGGTGGCTCTACCACTCCTGGCTGCACACATCCTACCCTGCAAAGGAAGGAAGCCTCAGCAGGGTGACTGGGTTCCCCCAGCATGACCAAGCCGGGTGAGGACCATTTAGGGGGTTTGCTTTGTATAGGCGTCTGAGGTAAAGTGCCTTGAAGTCTCATGGGACTCTTTTTACATTAGAAGAAAGAAATGGTATTGCCCTCCATGCTCAAAGGAAAGAGTTAAGAACAAATCTAAACGTGCTGGAGTTAGAACGAAATCTTGGAAGAAACAGAAACAGTTGATAGCAACAGATTAGAACACGAGACTGATAAGCAATGTGGCAAATAATGGATTTAGTAATCTGGAAATGTTTTTATCTGTTTTGCCTTCTCCTTCTCCACACAACTACTCTTCTGAGAAAGAGGCTTTCTGAATCTGACACCAGGGAGAACATTAAGTCTAGAAAACATAAGAACTATCTTTATATAACAACCATATATAACTATATTCATATATTTTCTTCTGTTCTCAAATTTCCAGCTGTTACTTGTCATAATTAAGAAAAATTCATAGATGATAAAATCTTTAAAATTTAGCAGCTTGTAGCACCATTCCATCTCCCAAATTAAAAACATTAAAAAGAAAACTTAATAAATTAGGAATTAATGGCCAATTACACTCTAAATTGCAATATATCAAATACTGAATTTTATGAGCAAACCTTGTTACATATAAACATATTTATGTTCCTAAAGATTTATTAAACTTATAAAAAGGTATGTATATATCTCAATTTTTCTCCCCATCATCATGGCTTTATCATGTCTGTTGTCAGGATTTTTCATAACTCCCGATGGGACTTGTACTCAGTTCCCTATATAATCATGGGAAAGTTCGCTCTTGAGATTTTGTTTTGCCTTGGTGTTGTCAGGAATAGGAATGTGGTGCTAGCTGGGAACACAGGGCCTAGGGCAGTGGGGTGCAATACCTCATACTGTCACACTGCACAGCTTGTAGGCCTGTGAAAGGAGCCCGGCGCTGGACTGCTCTGCCCACCCCAGCCAAGGATCTGCTGTTGCAGGTGGGTGAGGAGGACGTGTCCACTAAGACCAGGAGACTGAAGAAGCAGGAAAAATCACTGCAAGAGGATGTGACTTGGGAACTGGTGGTCCTGCGGAGGATGCTGCAGGAATGGAAGGCTGCCTGGGCTCTAAGTGAGTGAAGGGGGTGAGGTGGGGGGTTTGTGAGGGAGGAGGTTCTCACCTTGGACTAGTGTTTCTCAGTCTTTGAAAACCATCCCTATCCTGTGAAACATAAAAATCTGGGGCAGAGTAAGGCCTAGCAAGGACTGTTGAAAGCTACAAGATTGGAGGATTCAAGGGCTGCTGGCTTTCAGAACATGAGAGACTAGTTAGTGCAGGAAAAACAGAGGCAATTCATCACATAAACTGGATCATATATACAAAAAAGGGTTGAAAAAGAGATTCTGAGTAAAAGCTACTTGTAGGGAGCAACCACAGATGACGGGAGCACTGAAATAAAAGCTTAATACCTGCAAAGAGAGCAGTTAGGAATAAAATGAGGAAGACTTTGAAAGCCAGATGGAAGAGCCCTGAAAGGAAAGGAAACCTAATGATAACCACAATCATTAACATATGAGCCCTTATTATCTTGCCAGGCATTTTGCTAAACTTTGTTTAGTTAACTCATTTAATACTCAAAATAACTCAGTATAGTAGATTCTAGTATTATTCCCATTTTACAAATGAGACATCTCAAGCTCAGAGAGGTTAAGTAACTTATCCAAGGTCACACAGCTAATAAGTGTGATTCCAAACCAGGTACATTTGCCAACAAAGTATCCTTAACCACTATGATTTACTGTCCCTTTTATTTTCCAGATGGTAACAATGAAGAGTTATTTAAGCAGAGAGAGAGAGAATACAGGATGGGACTGGGGAGAGTTTTGTTTGGGAACTGTCCAGGAGGGTACATGGATCATCCAAAAAATAACTTGCTTAAGGACCCCATCTCTGGGGCCCTTTATTCTTCTGAGCTAATGCTTTGCCTGAATTGTCCTGGAGGGAAGGGGACTTCTTGTCACCTGCATGCAGCACAATATCTAACCCTAACCAGGTGGTTCTCTTCTCATTTCCCCCTCTGTGGCATAGTCATCGAGTGGCACCATGAGACAATAGAGGGCCTGCTGCAGAGCTTGATGGACATGCACGATGACATTCGAATCCAAGCCATCATCACATGTGCCACAGCTGCTTTAGAACGGCCCCGGACTGTCACCAGCCAGGGGAATTCAGGTGAGAGCCAGAACTGGACTGCTTGAGAATATAAACAACTCACAGAGCCAGGGAAAACTTGAACTGGTGGGGACCTTGGAGCTTCTCTGAGATCATTTTACAAATGTGAAAACCAAGACCCAGAGACTGGCCTGGATATATACAGTTTATTAGCAATAGAGATGAGATTAAAATTCCTGACTTCCAGTCCAGTGCTTTTTGCACTTCATCACCTTTCAGACCCAATCATAATAGCCAAAAATTAGATAGATATACATAAATATATATAAATTTGAAAGCTACATATACACACTTTTCTCCCAACTCCATTTTAGCCCTCACTTCGACAGCCCACCTCAAACACAACATGTCCCATATTGAACTCACCACCCTCGCCACAGACCCCTCTCCACACTCCAAGTCTCAATCAGCAGCCACACAGTCCGTCCAGTTTCCGAGTCAGGACCCTGAGAGTCATCCTGGACAAATCCTTCCTCTCCCCACAACCAACTGACCAATAAATTCTACTGATTCTGCCTCCTAAATATATATTTTTTTAATTACGAAAGAAATGTAAAGTGTCACTATCAGTCAACACACAGAGGAATATAAAAAGAGGTAATTACCTTCCCCTACCCACTTCCCAGTCCCAATCCCACCCCCGTGCCACTCCCCAGGGTAACCAGTGTTTAGTGTGGCATTCCACATCTTTCTCTACACTTTTACAAACATGCCAACATATATGTGGGCTTTTCTATTTATCACAAAAATGAGTGTTGAATGTTATCAGCCATTTGAGGCTTTTTCTCCTTTAATTTGTGGTTCTGATGAATGCTGTTGTTAAATTATTAAAATAAATCCCAATGGATCATGATATATTATTCTTTTATTACTCTGCTGGGTTTGATCTGTTAATATTTTAGAATGTTTAACTACATTCATAAGTGAAATTGATAGTTTTGTTTTTATTTATACTATTTTTGAGTTTTTGCTAGCTTTGTAAAATCAATTAAGGACTTGGCCATTTTTTTCCAATGGTCTGTAATCTTTTGAAAAAGAAATGTCAATAGCATTTCTTTACTAGCAATAAGCAGTTAAAAAGGAAAATTTCCCACCTATGAGAGCCAGACCTAGAATCTACTGAGGAGCTGGTTTATTAAGACACAGGACCCAAAGGATGGAAAATATAAATTGGTCTTGAAAGGACATAAAACCAACTGACTCTTACTTATCCCTCAAGTGCCCTCTCAGACTGACCTTTTATAGGAATCCTGGGCTGACACTTTTTCCTTCTCTGCTGCTGCTGGCACCCTAATATTATTTTGTCCTAACATTTATCACTCTATCATAATTTTCTGTTTACTTTTCTGCCATCCATATGAGGCAAGGAACGCCTTAAGGGCAGGGACTAATTTTACCTCTACAAAGTTGTCAGGTTTGGTGTTTTGTTTTTTTTTTTTTTTGCTGCTGAGGAAGATTGGCCCTGAGCCAACATCTGTGTCCATCTTCCTCTACTTCGTATGGGATGCTGCCACAGTATGGCATGACAAGCGGTGTGTGCCGGGGATCTGAACCCGTGAACCCCGGGCCGCTGAAGTGGAGTGCGCGCACTTAACCACTTGCGCCACCGGGCCAGCCCCTATCAGCATTTTAAAGTTTCATTTTACTTATTTCCTGTCTATTGAGTTCCAGATTTGGGCATTTTTCCTCCAGGTTTTCAAATTTGCTGCTCCCTCTGCTGGAAAACTCTTCCTCTCTCACTTCACCTGATTAACTTCTATACTTGCCCTTCAATATTCAGCTGAAGTGTCACCTCCTCTGAGGTGTCTTCCCTGCCCCACCACCCAGACTTGGTTCGGTGTTCCTGCTATATGCTCCCACACATAAACATTTTTTATTATAACTGCTTGTTTCCTTGGGTATTAAATGAGATGATGTATTTTCAGTGCCTGGATATAGAGAAAACCTTCAATAGGCGGCAACAGATATTATTATAATCTTATCCCCAGATCTTCCACACACATACAAAGAACACCTTTGTCTTCCCCGAGAAGAACTGTGCCTTTCATGTGATCCCTTTCACATGTCCTGGTTGTCTAGATTTTGATTTGTCTTGTTTCCTCCCTGTCCCTTCCCAAAGAAAATTATCTTATTATTTCTTGAAATACTCAATTGACTTCTATCTATTCCCCAGAAATACACATTTCCATCTAGCCCATTCTTAACAGATGCCATAGCAGCCCCCAGCGGTAGTAGAAAGGACAGATTAAAAATCCTAAAATCTTAGTCACAGGTCCAGTTCTGCTGACTTCCTGGTAAGTCAGTTAGCCTCTCTGAGCTTCACATTCCTTATCTATAAAATGAGGATAGTTGTGGACAAAAGGTTAACAAAATCCTTCCCCTTCTACTTGAGAATTTGAGCTTTAAATGCCTACCTGTTGCCCTGATAACCTGATAAGGATAGGAACTATCTTTAAAGGCAACATCGCTTATGATAAAAATGAACCCTGACTGATACATTACATTTGGACTGGGAAGAACTATAAATGAAATATAAATACCTGAAGGGCGCACCATGAATGGGCTTCCATGAATGCTGTGACTGATAACAGGCAGGCCCTTTGTGGACCCTGGAAATATATCTGTGGAGTTGTTATAAGAGATAATAACTCCATGGAACATAAGACTTGTATCCAGAGTGGATTCTGCTCCTGAGCTGTCCCCAGCAGGCCTGCAGAATGCTATTCAAACTGCCTCAAGAACTCTGGCCAAAAGGAATGCCTGGTGCTGCCCTGCTGGCAAACTGTGCTCCCATCCTGTATCCTTCTGAAGACCGTGCCATGTGTGGCCTATGATAGTCTTGTAAGTCTGACTGTTTAAACCTAAAGACTCCTGAAATACACATATTTCAGGTGAGCTCTGCAGTAACACCTGCCTTGCCTACTTCAATGAGGGTTGGAAAACTGAATGATAATGAATATGAAAACACTATATAAATGGAAAGCACTACCTAAATATAATTGCTATTATTATTAAAAACACAAAACTATATAGGGCAAATAGGTTGATTTTCTTTTTTTTTTTTTTTTGTGAGGAGATCAGCCCTGTGCTAACATCCGCCAATCCTCCTCTTTTTTGCCGAGGAAGACGGCCCTGGGCTAACATCCGTGCCCATCCTCCTCCACTTTATATGGGTCGCCGCCACAGCATGGCTCGCCAAAGCAGTGTGTCAGTGCACGCCCGGGATCCGAACCAGCGAACCCACGGGCCGCCGCAGCGGAGCGCGTGCACCCAACCACTTGCGCCACCGGGCCGGCCCCAAAATAGGTTGATTTTCATCACTAAAACTAATGGTGAAGGTTGCCATAGCCTAGCTGGAAACATTCTTCTTTGGCGTGACTATAGCTCTTTAGAGGCCAGATGATAAAGGACTGGGAACTGGCATAGCCAGCACAGAAGTGAACCATAAAATCCTGCCCATTGCAGGGGCTCAGCTAAACTCTAATTACATTAAGTAGCAGTAATCACTTGTGACTGAGACTGAGGTTGGCCACAGGAAGGAAGCTGTGTTTCAGAGAAAAGCCAAGGGGCTACACTTACCTGGCTCTCTTTTGATCACAGACAAGGAGGAGACTGTGAAAGCCCCATCTATCCAGGACTTGCCAGAGGTTCTACAGCCCGCTCTGGAGGCTGCCCTTTGTGACAAGAATGCCAATGTGCGGATGGCAGCAGCAGTATGCCAATATGCCATAAAGTCACATAATCCCATTGCCCGGGACATCATGCAGACTGCCCTTTTGAAGGGTGAGTAATGCCCTGTTATTTCTGACCTGGGAATATGGGGTAAAGAGAGGACATCTTACCATCAGCTGTTCCTAATCCTTTCCTCTCCACTATCATGCTCTGGGATGGCTACTGTATTGAGTTTGGGTTTATGTTAGAACAGATTAGTTTTTCCTAGGTACTCTGACAAAATAAGTACAATGCCACCTAGTGGCACCTGGGCTAAATGTTTCAGATGCATTTGACTAGAAACCATGCCCTCTTTCACACAACCAGATTTCCTTTTCATTGAAAAGATGATGTAACAATATTAAAAAATACTTTCTGAAAATTAAAAAATCACCACTTGAATACATCATGCTTCCATTTTTGCACATTAACTTACAGGCACTGTCCACATGCATTGTTGGAGTAACACAAGCAAAAAGGTCCTGTCCGATGCCTAACTGTTCTGAAAGATGTGCCTGTTCCTTGCCTAGGGGCAGGGTGGCAGGGTTTGGGGCAGACAAGGACAAGTGGCTGACTGGTTTGGCCTTCTGCATATAGACCTTCAACAACTTAATTCATCTGTCTTAAAAAAGCCTCCACTCCAGACTTCCCAATTTCTAGGGGGAGGAACAACTCTCTCTCTCACCCAGACCACAAGTGCCTTACTGCTCTACTCCTAATGAGTGCCTGTTAGGATCTGACTTTTCAGGTTAAGATTTTCAGTCTATATTTAAAACCTTGATATGATCCATTTAAATATGCTTTAAATACAGAATTGGATTTCTAGACTGAAAAGGGCACAAGGAAGTGAGATAACAGGCAGGTAGCAGCCTTGGGTACCAACCCAAAGGCTGTTCTCTCTGTGGGGAGAACAGATCACCATTCTGGACTTTTTTCACCCCACTGTGGCAGGTAATAGCGTGGACAGCTGGGCTGCAGCTCAATGCTTGGCTCTGGAAGGCACTGCCACTTACCCCGTAATTAAAAGGATCCTCCATCAGCTGTTTAACAAGAAGAATGAGGACACTGAGCACCAGTCTTGTATGCTCCTGAGCCATCTCAGTGGGAAGACAGTATGTGTCTATTTCAGGGTCAGAGAAAGAAACCAGGTTTTGGGGGAACATTTAGGTCTTTGAGGTCAGTGCATGTAACGAATCAAAAATGCAAGTGGCTGAGTAGGATGATCTGAAGCTTAGGTAAAATTAGACTAACTGTGGGTGAATGGGTGTAGAGGTGTATACAGGGAAAAGTGAAAACAGCTAGCTGAGAGAAAGGTGTGACAAGCAGGTTGCAGATGGTTTCTAACTGTGTATACAAGAGTTGTGATATGTAGAATTTGCTTCTGCTAGAAGTTTACCATTGAAAACCACACAGACCTACCATTGTGTTTACTTTCAGTGGAAATGTGAAACCCAAAAAGATTGAGGCATATACGAATCATTTTAGGGGTAAAGATAGTCAAGAAGAGAGGGCCCCAGGAGTTTTCTGTTGAGATTACTAAATCTGTGTTGTTCCCTGATTTCTGATCCCAGAAGTCAGCTGGCTCAGATGGAAGAGTGCCTCATATCTTGTAAACCCACTCTTTCCTTTGCTAGGGATGGGCATCTCATGTACTTGTGACATTAATTATGCTGAATGTCATGTTAAGATGTAACTTCTTCATGGTTCCAGCATCTCTAAAAGTGATCATGAATATCCATAAAAGTCTTCCATTTCCTCAGACCCTGATACACACCATGCTTGCCGTGGAGCTGAATAGCCATCAATGGAAGGATCGGATTGTGGCCTGCCGGGCTCTCTCCCGGATCAGTGGAAATGTCAGTTTGGTAAGCCTTCTCTTTCTGTTTCCAGGACAGAAAGTCTAAGCAAAAAAGTCTGGGCTAGGGAGCCCTTCCACTTTTTGCTGCTATCTAGTATCCCATTCTTACCAAACAGATCTCTGCCCTTACATTGCTATTCTTACTCCTAACCCAGAATTATCTTCAAATGCCAACATGTCTTTCTTTGACTTAAGTCACTGCTTCTCAGCATGGTAGCAGTCCACAAACTCTTTGTAACCCACCCACATGAAATACACAAAAAACCCGAAAGAGTTTAGAAACTTTTATAGTAATTTGACATTGCCTCAACATTAATGTATTTTATAAGTATCAATGACATTTTTCCCAAAAAAAATTGGTCTTGCATCACAGATAGTTTGAGAAGCACTGACTTAAACTACCCAACAACCCAACTATACTAGTATCTATGCTGGCTCTCTCTGAGTGCTCAGCACACGCATAGAGAAGGTATGAAACACAGTCCCTACTTTCAAAAAACTGACATTATAGTTGGAGTAACAAGAACAACATACACAAGTGATTCAAGAACAAGCGATAAATATAAGGTACTCTCTTAAAACTTTTGAGAGACTAGTGTGGGCTCAACTCATCAGTTAAAGTTCTGTGAAGGAGTGTGGGACAGCCGAGCAAGACTTGGACAGAACTGAAGAGGGACTTGCAGGCAAAGGAAACCATGACCACCCTGTAGACCTTCACCTGACCTCCTTTTGCAATTGTTTTTAAATCATCTTCAGCTGTCCAAATGGGACTTCTTTCCCCTTCTTTCTATGTCTCACTATGCCTTTTTCTTATAACATTGAGTTACCTGCAAAATGGCCCAGAACACTGCCATTCCCATGAGAAGCGAACACCCTCCACTCTGACCCTCGCATTTTGGTGTGGAAAGCACAATATTTGGCCATTAGGTATAATCACCTGAAGATGTTTTAGTCTGGGTTAATTCTTCCTCAACTGCTATAGTACCCTGCTGCTCAAGTCCTAGACCAACAGCACAGGCATCACCTGGGAGCTGGTTAGAAGTACAAAATCTCACCTGAGGTCAACTCAATCAGAATCTGCATTTTAACAACATTCGATTCATTTGCACATTCACCTCCTTAGCACGTATCACTCAGGATTGCCAATGGAAAGTAAAAAGACACGCAGAGCAAGCAGGGGACAGGCTAAAGATGAGAACTTGACATCCGACTACTGGAATTAAGAAAGACAGTATATCCATCAGTTCTTTCACTCATTCAGTAAGCAAGCAGTTTCTGACCACATCCTACATGCTAGGCACTATGCTAGCATTGGGGTGCAAAGACAATATGTCTTCTCTTGGTAAATGTTATAAAGAAGCCGCCATGAGGTATTATAGGGATTTCCTAGGCTTAGAGAGGGCAGAGGAGAGTTTACTGAGGAGATGCTTTTTGAGCTAAATCCTAAAAGAAAGAGTAGGAAAACATCAGGTACCAGGTAGGCGTGGAAAAGGGAGATGTTTCAGGCTGGGGGAACAGAGAGGGCACATTTACACAATCATCAACTAAAACTAGTCATCTCTGTCCCTTCCCCTCTGAAAGGAGTACTGATATATAGGGTGGCCACTGTCTTGGTTTGTCCAGAACATAGGACTTTTAGTACTAAAACCAGGAAAGTCCCAGGCAAACTGGGATGAGTTGGTCACCCTATTAATGCATCACCTTCAAATTTTAAGTGTCTCAAGCACAGATTACATTGGTCCCCCAACACAGTATAATAGTTTAAATAATGAGCTTGGAAAACAGACCTGGGTCTGAGTCCTGGCTCCAGCACTCAACATGGTAACCCTGGGCAAGTAAATCTAAGCCTCCATTTTGTCATCTGTAAATGGTAATAATATCTGCCTCACTGGATTGTTTGGGAGGATTAGGTGATGGGTAAAAATACTTAGCAAATACTACTCAGCCATTAAAAAAACAAAAGACAAAATCATCCCATTTGCAACATGGATGAAACTTGAGAGTATGATGTTAAGTGAAATAAGCCAGAGAAAGCCAAACACTGCATGATTTCACTCATATGTGGACGATAAACACCTGGATAAAGAGAACAGATTTGTGGTTACCAGAGGGGGTGGGCAAAAGGGGTAAAGGGGCACATATGTATAGTGATGGATAAAAGTTAGACTACTGGTGGTGAGCATAGTACAGTCTATACAGAAACTGATAATAATGTACACCTGAAATTAAACAATGTTATAAACCATTATGACCTCAATAAAATAATTGGGGGAAAAAAACAGCACAGTGCCAAGTACAAAACTGACATTCAATAAATGGTAGCTAATTATTACACCTATTTATAGGATATGAAACATAAGTTGATCCAGCTGATGTTGACTGACTGGAATAAGGAAGTGAGAAAAGCAGCTGCCCAAGCTCTGGGGCAAATGAACCTTGGGAAAGAGGTACATGACACGATCAGGTAAGACCCAGTCAACATGAAGAGAAAAACTTCTCTATTCTTAAAAGTGTTCAGGGGGCCTGGGATCCAGCCAGCCAGCATTTGTTGAGCTGCTCTGTATGCTCAGCATTGTACTAGGTCCCATTGCAGGATTATTTTTAAAAAATAAAAAGTTAGGGGCCGGCCCCGTGGCTTAGCAGTTAAGTGCGCGTGCTCCGCTACCGGCGGCCCGGGTTCGGATCCGGGGCACGCACCGACGCACTGCTTCTCCGGCCATGCTGAGGCAGTGTCCCACGTACAGCAACTAGAAGGATGTGCAACTATGACATACAACTATCTACTGGGGCTTTGGGGGAAAAAAAGGAGGAGGATTGGCAATAGATGTTAGCTCAGAGCTGGTCTTCCTCAGCAAAAAGAGGAGGATTAGCGTGGATGTTAGCTCAGGCCTGATCTTCCTCACCAAAAAAAAAAAAAAGTTAACAGTCCCTACAGACACTAACAATGTGGCTAAGGAAAGAATCACTGAGTGCCCACTAGGAGTTAGGCACTGTTTTGGATGTTTGAGAGAGTTCAAAAGTATGACATGATTCTGATTATACAGGCAAGATACACAAATGCCTAGTAAGGTCAAGTTTCATGGAAGACGGATAAGACTATAGGCAGAGAAGAGAAGGAAAGACATTCCAGGCTGGGAGCCAAATGCAGAAATAAGCATGGCACATGTGAGGGCAGCGAAGAAAACTTGACTGTACCAAGAGGTGCATGTTGAATGTTTCCTTTATTCAGTCAACATAGCTCAGTGTATAGCATATGCTAGGTAATAGGGATTCAAGTAAATAAGACACTTGAGGTCTTTGCCCAGTGAAACTTAACCTAATGGGCATAAGGCTGACTAGGAAAGGGTGGGAATGGACAATAGAGAGCCTACAGAGGTTGGATTTTATCCTGAGGGCATTAGTGGGGAGGAGTGGGGCACCAAAAGTTTAAGGAGGAAAAATAAAAGCTTCTGTGCCTTACAGAGTCAAGCTGGGTCAAGGAAATCCCCAGGAGCGTGTGGAAGCCCTCTCCCTGATTGGTAGGCTCAAGCTCATGACCACCAAGCTTCTCCCAAGCTTCCTGAACTGCTTCTCTGATGACTTCATGGCAGTTCGACGGGCAGCCTGTTTGGCAGCAGGTGCCCTGCAGATCCGTGATAAGATGGTGAGTCAAAGAAACATGTTCCCATCTTACCCGATTAACCCGAAGAGGGCATTACCCTGAGTTTCCCTTGTTGCGCATAGTACACTCACCATTCTGTGGGGACACAGAATGAGAAAACAGAACCAGGAAGGTGAGGAGATACATAGGCCACATCAATCGGTGAAGACATTTAGCTCCCAGCCAGCCAGACGTCACTCTAGAGCACAGCCCTGAATCCTGTTCTCACCTGTTACGGGCTTTAGGATCAACTCCAATGAATGGAGTTATAATCCCTAATTAGGGAAAAACCTGATGGAGGTGTTCAAAAGCCTATATGGCCATAGATCTGTGAGCAGAGAAAATCAGTCTACAGATACGAGATAATTCAGCTAATACACTATGTGTGCTGGCTCCAGATCATTTGTCACTAGAATTGATAGAAAGTCATTTTTCAGTTATAGAACATTTTAGAGACAAGAGGGGTCTCTGTCTCTGGTTCATTCTTGCTCTGGTCTTCTCCACCCAACACTGCCTTTTATCCATCCTAGGTCTTTGAATGCCTTCTGAATCTGATAGAGAGAGATCCTTATTGGAAAATCAAGGCCTTTGCCATTCGAGGTATTACAGAAAGAGTGGCCCCAACTCCTCGACCTCAAATTCTTTCCCATATGCTAGTATATATGATTCCTAGAATGTCTCTAGTAAGTGGGCAGAGTGTAGGGGAGAGGATGATCACACCTTCTCAGAAGTTCCTTGCCTGAGGAATTAAAGATTATTTTCTTCTTTTTAATTTTTAGTGAAAGATCCGGAGTCTAGGTCTATGTCAAACTTGTTAAGGCAAAGGGCTGACAAGACAGTACCTGCCAAGAGAATTAGGGATAAGTTCCAAGTAGGTATCCACTGTTGCCTACGCTTGCTTTCTCTGGAGGTTTCAACTACAAGACTCTGTAAAAGTCAGACCAGATTCAAGACTGCTACAGACCTAAAACACTGCCCTCAAATTTTCCTAGAGTTCTTTTTAAAGGATCTTTGGCATTGCTTCTCTCTCTGACAGTCTTTGGCAGGTCCCTAGCAGAATTGGCCCTAGGTAAACCTGTGAAGTAATTGTGCCTCCATTCCCTATCACCCTGCCTTGATTAGGCTAGTCATCTGAGTTATCTGTCCCATATCTCATCCCTAGATAAACAGGTAAATCAGGGGCCGGCCCGTGGCTTAGCAGTTAAGTGCTCGCACTCTGCTACTGGCCGCCCGGTTCGGATCCCAGGCGCGCACCCATGCACTGCTTCTCCCGCCATGCTGAGGCTGCGTCCCACATACAGCAACTAGAAGGATGTGCAACTATGACATACAACTATCTACTGGGGCTTTGGGGGGAAGAAAAAAGAA